CTATCAATCCAAGTTCGGTAACATTTACAATCCAACATCTCATGTTGACTCTCAATCCAAGTTCAGTAACATTTACAATCCAACATCTCATGTTGACCATCAATCCAAGTTCAGTAACATTTACAATCCAACATCTCATGTTGACTATCAATCCAAGTTCGGCAAGATTTACAATCCAACATCTCATGTTGACTCTCAATCCAAGTTCAGTAACATTTACAATCCAACATCTCATGTTAACTCTCAATCCAAGTTCGGCAAGATTTACAATCCAACATCTCATGTTGACTATCAATCCAAGTTCAGTAACATTTACAATCCAACATCTCATGTTGACCATCAATCCAAGTTCGGTAACATTTACAATCCAACATCTCATGTTGACCATCAATCCAAGTTCGGTAACATTTACAATCCAACATGTCATGTTGACCATCAATCTAAGTTCGGTAACATTTACAATCCAACATGTCATGTTGACCATCAATCTAAGTTCGGTAACATTTACAATGCAACTCTTGTACTGAGAAACGGTCTTTTTTACACGGTGTATTTAACAAAATTAATTGTGCCGATACTATGTCCCTATTTTGTGATAAAGATAATTATACCTATTAATTAACAGAAATTAAATTAAATTTTAGATTTCATATCTTACATAACTGTCAGGTCGCTCAGGCAGATTTTCCCGATCACAGGTCCCCTGGACCGGATGGGACCAACGCCGATTTGTCATAACCAGTTTCCCGGTTCGTGGGATTTGATGAAAACAAATAAACGAAAAACGGACAGAATATTCATGTTTAGAAACGCTGCATTAAGGATTCGTATAATAATAGATTAAATAATATGTATGGCTCATAATATTCGTATAATTTGAAGCTTGTTAATGTCGTTCCCCGGAGGGTCAGCGCGAAGTTTATGGAATTATAACGCTAAAATTCGTGGTTCAGTTACCCGCGGTGGACAGAGCTTATATAGCCAATTGTTTATCGCTTCCCTCGAAAATTCCACTCTCCATCCTCCTTGTGGCTCAACGGTAACGCCTGAAGGCGTACATCGATAAAAATTGGGTTTCGATACCCCCCCGGTGGTCTGAGTACAGCCTATTGTGTAGCCTTGTGCTGAACAACAAACAAACTGTTAATGCATTTCAGTTGATTTGGGCGTTTTAGGCTTAACAACTAACCTCTGTATTGGAAATGTTATTTTTTCTCACTTAGATAATTAACCCAAAAATTGCCTTTTAATTATTATTTTTTTAAACCAATATCACATTAGTCTTAGATAACACTACAGGATGTTTTGCGAATTTTTTGACGTAGAGGGGACATGAATGATAAGATATATAAAATGAAGTATACATCCCAGATACTCGAGAATGTACCTATACCATAAAGTTGCTTTTCCTTGTCCAGTCTCGATGTATAAATAAAAATAGAAGACAAAAAAAAAAGTTTCAATAGATATATATTTCTCGGTCATATAAAAGTTTAGACCATTTTTCTTTTTTTAAACCAATACCAAGAACGTTATCAGTTTAATATACATACAAGAAAAGTTTCAAACTTCTAATCTGGTCCATCCTTCAGCTTCAGTAGTAATCCCTCTGGACGCTGATATGAGTGTCACATATTAATTAATGATCAAACTGTTTACTTCTTATTACACGGATAGTGGAATATCGTTTCTCTCGTGTGTTAGTGATGGTAAACGACGAATTATAATTTGCTCCATTATAAAAAAAAACATTAGCGAAATTTCCTTGTTTGAGCATATATTATCCGTAGCTTGTAATTAATGGCTTTACGATGTAGTAACCCCCTTTATGTGTTTTCTGTAACTGTACTACCTGGGTTTAGTTTTAATTTGCCGTTTCTCTAACAAGAAACTACTAAAGCCAGGGGCCGGGGTTAAATTGTTGTGTGGGGGGTCCCCAAGATAAGATATGCGTATACATAGGTCCATAATTATTACAGAATTAGATATACCAATAATATTTACATGTCGAACATTCCAGATTACATAAAAAACTCTACAACAACATCACAAAATATTTATTCATATGTAAATGTATATTTTTAAAATAATTTTACATTATCTGTTCGTAGACAGTAACTTGATGTAAATGTATATTTTTGAATCAACTTTACATTAACTGTTCGTAGACAGTAACTTTATGTAAATGTATATTTTTAAAGTAACTTTACATTACCTGTTCGTAGACAGTAACTTGATGTAAATGTATATTTTTAAAATAATTTTACATTATCTGTTCGTAGACAGTAACTTGATGTAAATGTATATTTTTGAATCAACTTTACATTAACTGTTCGTAGACAGTAATTTTATGTAAATGTATATTTTTGAAATAACTTTACATTATATGTTCGTAGACAGTAACTTGATGTAAATGTATATTTTTGAAATAATTTTAAATTATCTGTTCGTAGACAGTAACTTGATGTAAATGTATATTTTTAAAATAATTTTACATTATCTGTTCGTAGACAGTAACTTGATGTAAATGTATATTTTTAAAATAATTTTACATTATCTGTTCGTAGACAGTAACTTGATGTAAATGTATATTTTTAAAGTAACTTTACATTACCTGTTCGTAGACAGTAACTTGATGTAAATGTATATTTTTGAAATAACTTTACATTACCTGTTCGTAGACAGTAACTTGATACTGGTCTATTCATGAAAGAATTAGAAAATTGAAATTATAAACAACAATCATAGCCATTCAGTACTAAAAAATGTTTGCTGTTTCTTTGGGGGTACTTTTTTTGAGAGGAGGGGGGGGGGGTTATATTGTTCATTAATCCAGCCCTGACGAAAGCACGGATAGAATCTGGTAATAAGCCTTACTTTTTTTATGTAACATAAATGAAAAAAACAAACTTGCTTTTTTTTAATAGTGATGCTAATTTTACGAAAATGTTATGGAATATTTATACTTTCAACCAAGTTTATAATTTTTATGATAGGAACGAGAGAATCTGTAGTTTATTTGTAGTGTAAATAAACTCAAAATAATTATGACTTTCTACCCTGCGCGCAGCATTTTTGCGCACGCGCGAGGTATGCTGCATGTAGAAATACACATACAATTCTGAAAATAATAGTAAGTGATTATTCAAATGAACAGCAATAATATGACTGTATAGTAGAGAAGAAAAGCATACAGTTGGTGATGACGTCACTGATGACGTTTTAAATCAAATGCAGCATCAACAGAATAAGTGGAGTAAGGGAGTTAATTATATCAAAATAAATAAAAGTAAAGTATTTATAAAACTAAATTTTTGCAGGATTAGAAAGTAAAGAGGTGACAAAATGACGTCACTTCAATTGTAATAATTCAATCAACTCTTTAACCCTAAAATAATTCAGTTTTCGTCACTTTCGGTGTTGTTATGCATACTGGTTTATTGATAATTCCTGGCTATCCATTACCCAACTTGGACGGCTGTGTCTTTTTAACTTAGAATCCGGGAACGCTAACTACTAGGCCACGCCTGGCTCAGAGTCCGAGGATTCAAGCTTTACGACCTTTTTTCTGCAAAAACGTGCTCTGCGTTTTGGAGCTGTTGGTGCGTTATAAGAATGACTGTCAAATCCCACCGCCGGTAGATGGTATTCTTCATTTTAGAACAAAGCCCTTGAAGTGGCGAGTGCTGCTTGCTTGCTGCACTATCTTTGGTCAGTAGTTCAAAATTAGGGACAATACATGAACCCTCGGGGTCGTTTGATCTGGCCGCTTATAGCCCATGTGCTTGCGCATCAGGCGCCATATAGGTTTGAAATACCAATATTAGAACATCTTAAATTACTTTGTAGTTAATTATTAGAGTCATATACTCACTGATAATAATTAGCCTCACTCTCCCCCCCCCCAAAAAAAACAACAACATAAAATAATAAAATAGAAGGTGTAAATTTGTTGTACGATGTCTAAAGCGTTTGTTATAAATGTATTCATTTTTTTGCTTGGTTAGGAAATAAATAATAATAGCATGGCCTCTGACAGAACAGGTACTGAAATTAATATAGGATTTGTTACTATAGTATAGTTTTAAGCTATTCATACATATAAATATATTGATAGAATCTTAACGGATTACAGAAAGGTGGGAATATATTCAGTTTTTGTATGGAAACCTTGAAACTGAACGGAACAGTCCCAGTCACAGCGACCGCTGCAGTCACTTTTCCCAGTGTGACTTTAAAGTCTGTTACGATCACCACCACTTTCCAACACACAGTGGCCTTTATCGGGACAGACAATGGATATCTCAAAAAGGTGAGTATTAGGCCTAACATTAGTTTTTATTAATGTAGTAAATATTGATGTAAATTACTCAATCTACAATAAAAACGTTTAGTTATTTTATTTTCACTTGGTGAGTATTAGGCCTAACATTAGTTTTATTAACATAGTAAATATTGATGTAAATAACTCAATCTACAAATAAAAACGTCTAGTTATTTTATTTTCACTTGGTCAGTATTAGGCCTAACATTAGTTTTTATTAACATAGTAAATATTGATGTAAATAACTCGATCTACAAATAAAAACGTCTAGTTATTTTATTTTCACTTGGTGAGTATTAGGCCTAACATTGTTTTTTGTTTATTAACGTAGTGAATGGTAAACCTAAACTTTTATGCAAAAGTTCGTTTGAACCAAATATTTGACCTGTCAGTGCTCATTCAATCAATATACCAAGACTGTGTAATCACAGAATAAGCTGAAACCAGGTATAAAGAAGAAAAAAAAAACTGTCAAAAATGATGACACAAATTTCAATGCGAGTAAAAGTTTCTTTTTTTTTGTTTGCGCTTCCGTTAAAATATGATGTTAGTGATACGTAACGTTTCAGAATATTATTAACCGATAAAATGTTTGTAGTCTATTCTTAATAGTATTAACTATCCACCAGGGGAAAATAACATCGATAACACCTGTCAGTTGCAATGACACTGGTATCAGTGCTACATATAAATATAGTAAATAGAAGAAAAAAATAATTAAATTCACTCAAGAATATAAAAATGTGTATCGGTGCCGTCTATTATAATCGTAATTTTTTTATGGCAGTCTTAAATGCCTTAGATGTGGTAAAATGATAGAATTATTCCTTTTACTGCAAGACGATTAAAACGTTTTTGTTTTTTGTCTAAAAATAATAGATATATGATGATTTAAGCGTAGACAAAAAAACTAAAAAATAAAAAAAAACGTTTTAATCGTTTTATCTTAAAGAAATAAAAATGTACACAAAATTTTTTTATAGGGATAAGCCCGGCATGGCCAGGTGGGTAGGACGCTCGACTCAGGTTCGAATCCCCATCCCACCAAATATGCTCGTCCTTTCAGCCGTGGGGACATTATAATATGACGGTCAAACCCACTATTCTTTGGTAAAAAGAGTAGCCCAAGAGTTGGCGGTGGGTGGTGATAACTAACTGCATCCCCTCTAGTCTTTCACTGCTAAATTAGGAACGGTTAGGGCAGATAGCCCTCGTGTAGCTCTGCGCGAAATTCACAACAAACCAATTATTTAGATTAGTCTACACTACATCGGATATTATTCAAACTAGATACTATACGTGTAGTAAGAGAACCAAACGGATCCATGAACGGTAGTTATACGTTAGGCCGCTTCGGTTTGTGTCAGTCCAAACTAGATACTATACGTGTAGTAAGAGAACCAAACGGATCCATGAACGGTAGTTATACGTTAGGCCGCTTCGGTTTGTGTCAGTCCAAACTAGATACTATACGTGTAGTAAGAGAACCAAACGGATCCATGAACGGTAGTTATACGTTAGGCCGCTTCGGTTTGTGTCAGTCACTTCCTCAAAATCCATATAAGATATGCTGACGTAAGCGAAAAATGATGTCTTGTGAAATGTCCCAAGGCTGATTAGATCCTTCATTAGAGCGTGTCTATTTTCTGGAACACCTCTAACCAATTACTGCGGAACTCCCTTATAATTATAAAGTGGTGCACCCCATCTGATTGTCGGTTCCTTTGAGAACGTTTCCTTGTAGTGAAGCTTAGAGGGATTTCTGTCAATCATCAGTCTCGGTAGGAAACGCACTCTCCATCAATCTCCAAATTATTTCTTCTGGATTGACCTGTATGTACCCTTCCGCCGTCTTACCACGTGGTTTGGCCCTGAAGTATTTAAACAAAGGATTTTTCGCTTCGTCTCTTTCGTTTTGGCAACTGAAAACAAGTAGGTTGGTTAAAAACAAATGAAAAACGTATCTTTGACACAACAATTTGCACGAATATATAAAATAAATAAAAAAGAAGAAAGAGACACACACACAGACTTCTCACTCAGGTTATATGACTAAGACTTAATGAACATCGCTGGGAAAAGTTAGGAAAATAATGGTGTTAAATTATATATGGATGAATAAAATTACCCCCCCCCCCACACACACACTCCCTGTGTGTGTGTGTTTGTGTGTCTATATTGTTCTTATTGAGTTAAAAGCTTGGCTTTAATCATTTACCAGTACATTTATTAATTGGGTTATATCAGATTTCGTAATTCTTTTGGAAATTCGGTGTTTAAACCTGCGGATGTTTTGTGTGTTTTGATAAGGATTTCGTTCTTAATCTTGTGAATAGTTTAGTATGTTTAATTCTAGGGTTAATTTCACAATTCCTACTCATGTGCCGGGCTGTGAATCGTGAGGTTCGAGCCGCGACACTACTGAATTCGCTTCACACTTTCAGCCTTGTAAGGCGGCGGATACTGCACACTAGTTGCCCGCCCTCTGTTCGACACATACAAATCAGGGTTAACTATGCCTGAACTTTTGAGCCTCTGATCTGTCCATTTAGCTCGTATGTCGCACATTAGTTGCCAGCCCTCTGTTCGACACATACAAATCAGGGTTAACTATGACTGAACTTTTGAGCCTCTAATCTGTCCATTTGGCTCGTATGTCGCATAAGGTGCTTTTTAAGGATCCAAGGACTAAATCATAATCTTTTACATCTTTCATTATTATCGGGTGGTAATACCGGAAACATTGTCTTGATGTGTGTGAGTAACAACAATTTTACAGAATGCAAATCGTCGTTTATCTTGTTGCTAATAATAAAAATAAAGTTTTCTGTCTTTCAGTTTACATTAAAAATATAACGTCAGGGAATATGAAAGACAGGCCTAAGTATACCCTCAGAAAGTTATAACCAGATATAATGTTAAAGTTATATCGTTTCGACACTGTAACGTATAAACACACACACACACACGCATATATATAGTGCTTAAGCTATACCACACCACGTCGCTATATATGCATGTTTATTGTTTTTGAATAAAAAGAAACTGACCAGAGATGCGAGGAAGCATTGAAGCCATCAGTGCCCCGAGTCTCTAGACAAATGAGGATATCAGATTTGGTTCTCTTTGGAAGCCTTCCTTTAGAAGTCGGGGAGGATGGCTCTTCTTGGTTTCCAAGACTAATTGCTCTATGTTACCAACTGTTGACTGACAGGCAGTGTACAACCTTCAAAAGAGCTGACAGTCTGTAGTGCTGCAATTTGGAATTCCTTCTCTGGAGGGTTATGAAAAGTAACCTTTTTTGTGATGGTGTCTATGGTGGGCTGTCTGTTGTAAGCAATTGTTTTAGCCACCTAAGCCTAGTACTACAAACTGATCTGATATATTTCAATACAGTGTCAGCCATTATGTCTTTAGAATCTTGCATGAACAGCTCTTCGCTGTCCACAAAGTACGAGTCCCCTGGCTCTTCAAAAACACTCCCCAGAGTCTGGACAATTCTGGCAAAGGATGTCTACATATGGAAAACTTGCTTTCTTTACCACCCATAAACTCTCATACTCAGCCACCATTCTGGCAACTTCTAGGCTATCCAGCATTCGCCTCTTAAGGGCGACAGGGTTTTCTGTGAGTCCCACGGTTTCTCTCTTCTCTCGTGGTGGAGTTACCGAATTGTTCACGAGACTGGTCAAAGGCAATGAATGAAAAGTTGAGGGCTGACCGCTGGGCGACAAAAATGCCCTTCTTGAATTCATCAAACACTGTGGGGCTCGTGTTTAATGTATGTACCAGATTCTTATTTTTTACATGACCATTATATGAAACTAGTGTCTGATTTTTAAAATATTGAAATATGCAAATTGACTTAATGTGTTTATTACTCTGACGACATAGAAAGTAAAAATTACGTTTTAATACCAAGTTTGTAAAAAAAAATAAAAAAAAAAAAGACCAAGAAATATGCTTTGTATAATTTGTTTTTTCGTTATTTTCAAAGAAGGGTGATTTTTCTATGACTCCAATTCAGAAATGAGAAAAAAAAATGTACTAAAAATAACTGCTCTGCCGAACTGATGCTTTTATAGTTTTGAACAATTTTTTCTTAACATATACACTAAAAAATTACGTTTGGGCTTAACAAAAAATGATTAAAGTGTTGAAGTTCTTACTTCACATTCCTCTTAGTTAACCCCTTTAATTATTTCTCATCAGAGATGTGTACAGATACCATTTCAGGCTCGTCTCTTGTGTGCCTCGAGTCACTGTCCAGAAGGCCCTTTTGTTTCTTTCTAAAGTTAGTTATTTTTTTGGAAAATCCTTATTAATAAGCTTTAAGGAGTTAACATTTCCAGCCCAGTTAATCGTAATAATTGACTTAACATTGTTTCAGAGTATAGTCATTCTTTTCAACCTAAATTGGATTATCATTCTGGCTGGCTACCTGGCACCCGGGCAACAATACTTAACCACAACTTTGGAATGATTATGAGTAATAATGCAGGTGCAGCTTGACAGTAATGTTCCCCGTTTCCCAGCGGTGGTGCTGCTTGTAATTTTCAGTAGATTATCTGGATACTACGCCCCCCCCCCCTCTCTTAAAAACCACGTGGTAAATTCCAACAGCCTAGTGGCTATGAACAACGTGACCCCTGAACTTAATAGTAGAGGAAATATCTATTGAAACGGTGGGCGGCGTGTGTAAAATAGCTTCTCGGGACACGACCTTCTTCATCGCACGGAGTTTTTAACGTATTATCTTTTTTCTCTCATTCTGGAATTTAATCGAGTTCCCCCCCCCCTTGTTTTTTGCCGCTAGGAGTCTCGCACAGTATCTGAGTAATGCTTGTTAAGCGTATTTATTCATTATCATAGTTGCTCAATAGGATAATGCAGGAATTAATATATCTTACCAAAACTTTAGTTTAAATACATGTAAGTGACCTTGCTGGAGCCAGGGTAGGATAAACGATGGATTTCACGAGGTCCAAAAGCTATGTGAGTGGACAGAATAACAGAAGAGAAATGCCACGAGTCTAATGGTGCTGTTGACCCCCTCACATCAACTGGGGGGCTAGTTGTTAGTGTGCCGAGCAGTGAGCGAGATGGTTCTCAGTTACCGTAACAGCGCATTCTGCACTTTGGAGCTGTGGGTGCGTTATAAGAGTAGCGGTCAAACCTATTATCTGATTAGAGTATCCCAAGAGTTGGCGGTTGATGCTGTTAACTAGCGTTCCCTCACTTTATAGGTTCAAATTAGGAGCATTAACTCGGCCCTAGTGTCTCGGGGCGTATTTCCGGAACAAAAACTGAACTGATAAGTGTATCTTCGTCTCTGTTTCCCTGTATACTTTTTTTTATTATTATTAAACATGACTCATTAGTTCAAAGGTCAAAGCTGCACTTGTAAAATATTTACATTTTTCTCAGTGTACGATTTTTTTACTTGAAAAGTATTGTTGATAATAAAGTTGGCGACTTATTTGGCATTTCATGGCTGCTCATTGTTGAAAGTAAAATATATGTATTTATATTCGATGACGAGGAACCCACTTAGAGACTAATAACGCTTAGAAACGGCTTGAACGGGTAATGAAGAAAAAACTTTAATATAAGTTTAACATAACAGCAAATGTACAACATTTTGACAAAGTTTTGTCATCATCATTGTCTCCAACCATTATTTATGGTATTGATGTAGTAATTTATGATTTTTTGGTTATTCAACTGTATATATAAAACCTAAAAAAATTATTTCATTTCATATCCTCCACATGTGAAGTTTTAAAAGGCTTAGCAACTTATGTCAAGCAGCAATCGAGTACAAAGGTCATAACTAGAAGAGATAATTGTTTGCTTTACTTCTTTATTTACTGTTCTGTATGTTATGAAAATAACTTTAAGAACTTATTTCTAAATAGTAATAATCTATATACATATATAATGTATAATAATTGAAATGTGAC